GAGGATCAGAGTTACTATACAATTGGTCACTAGAAATTACTCCTACCAGTTGTGCCTTTGTACTTGTTCAGTCTCTCTCACTCCTGCTTTCTTCCTCTGGTATTTTTCAAATTTCATTCAACACAAAATTGTTGCTATTTATTGGAAGAAGTTGGGTTACAGTTGGTGAGGGAAGAAGCAGTTTTAAAATTAGGGAATTACATTTGCTACTTCTGTTTAAATATATTTATGTAAATCTCATTTTAATCTCTGTGGTCATATTGTAGCCTTCTAGAGGTATCTTTTACATTGTTTTTCCATGTCATCTGATAACCTAGTAGCTTATTTTTTTGGGTCCGGTCGTGGGGCCTGAACTCTGGGCCTGGGCGCTGTCCCTCAGCTCTTCAGCTCAAGGCTAGCACTCTACTACTTGAGCCACAGCACCACTTCTGGCTTTTTTCTTTTTGCTCATGTGGTAAGGAATCAAACCCAGGGCTTCAGGCATACAAGGCAAGTCCTCTACCACTGAGCCACCTTCCCAGCCCCTAATTTGTATTTAATTTTGTGAACTTTTTTGTTGTTGTTGTGGGACTTAAACTCTGGGCCTGGGCTCTGTCCTTGAGCTCTTCTGCTCAAGGCAAGCACTCTACCACTGAGCCACAGTGCCACTTCCGGTTTTCTTGTGGTTAATTGGAGATAAGAGTCTCACAAACTTTCTTGTCTAGGTTGGCTTTGAACCGCGTGATCCTCAGATCTCAGTCTCTTGAGTAGTTAGGATTATAGGTGTGAGCCAACAGGTGCCTGGTGTTTTGTGAACTTTTTGTGTATTGATTTTATGTTTAGACATTTGTGCTATTGTGGTCTTACGCATTTCTCTAGCATATATCTCCTAGGCCCTTGGAATATTTTTAAGTGAGAAATGCCTTTGGTATGTATGTTAATAGAAAGATTAGTGGCTGGGAACTAGATTCCCGGATAACCTCAAGATGGGGCTGGTTGCCATGGAAACCTCCCTATGATTAGAAGGTTGGAACTTTCTGTCTCAACACCTGACCTCCAGGGAGGGGAGAGGACCTAAAGGTTGAGTGGATCACCAATGATATAATTAGTTATGCCCACATAATGAAGCCTCTGCAAATGATTTCTGAACTGTGGTCTTCAGAGAGCTTCAGAGCTTTGATTATGTGGAGTTTCCTGGAGGATGGTATAACTGAAGAAGGTATGAGACCTCTGTGTCCCTCCCACATACCTTGCCCCCATGCCTTGTTTTCCTTCATTTCTCAGTTTGTATCTTTTGTAATATTCTTTATATTAAGTGAATAAATGTGGATAAAAGTAAAATGTTGCTCTGAGTCCTGTGAGATGCTCTAGCAAATTAATACAACACAACAAGAAATTTTAAGAACCCTAATTTATTACTGATAGGTCAGAAGTACAGGTAATGACCTGAGACTTGGCATCTTGAAGAGAGATGAAATCTTAGGGACTGATTCCTTAGCCTGTGGATCTGCTGCTATATCCAGGTAGATAGTTTTGGAATTGAATTGAAGAACACCCTATTTGGGCTATAGAATTACTTGGTGTAGGGGGAAAATTATTACACATGTAGTTACAGAAATGCTCTATGTTGTGAGAATATAGTAACAAAACCCATTCTTTTAAAAAAACTCCATTAAGGTTTCTTATTGTTTCTGATAATTATCTATAAAATTTGTAAATAACAATACCATCCCCAAACGACAGTTCTGTTTCTTCCTCTTTGATCTTTATGACTTTTTTTAAAATTTTATTTCACTTTCTAGGTTCTCTTAGTTTTTTAATCTATAGATTTTCTGAAATCAAACCGTCCTTGAATACCTTAGAATAAATTTGACTTGACCATCATGAAGTAATTTTTCTAAAAAAATACTTTGCCCATCTCTGCACTAATATCTATTTCAAATATTTTGTTTTTGCACCTATAGTCATGAGTCCAAATGGACCTGAATTTTTCTTTCATGTACCACCTTTGTTTGTTTTGGTCTGTCTCATACTTTTTCTGTTGTCTGGAAATTTGGAAGATGACTCCTCTTGAAGATTCAGTAGAATTTTTTTTTTTTTTGGGTCCAGTCATGGAGCTTGAACTCTGGGCCTGGGCGCTGTCTCTCAGCTCTTCAGCTCAAGGCTAGCACTCTACCACTTGAGCCACAGCGCCACTTCTGGCTTTTTTCTTTTTGCTTATGTGGTGCTGAGGAATCGAACCCAGGGCCTCTGGCATGCAAGGCAAGTGCTCTACCACTGAGCCACCTTTCCAGCCCAGTAGAATTTCTTTTTAAACCCTCTAGACTATATTTTCTTTGCAAGAAAATTATAATCAGTTTTTTACTTTGAAAACATATAGTTGCAGAATTAGATTGTAGGAAAGGAAGAAAACAAATGTGTACAGGAAGAAGCATTTGTCTTTTTTTTTTTTTTGTCAGTAATGGGGCTTGAACTCTGGGCCTGGGTCCTTCAGCTCTTGAGCTCAAGGTGAGCACTCTACCACTTGAGACACAGTGCCACTTCTGCTTGGTCATTCCTGCTTGGGCTAGCTTTGAACTTCCAACCTCGGATCTCAGCCTCCTGAGTAGCTAGAATTACAGGTGTGAGCCACTGATGTCTGGCAAAGCAATTGTCTTTAAACCAATGTACAACTGAAGGTGTGTGTGTGTGTGTGTGTGTCTTGTCTTTGTGTGTGTGTTTTGTGCTGGTCCTGGGGCTTGAACTCAGAGCTTGGGCATTGTCTTTGAGCTTTTAAAATGCTCAAAGCTAGTGTTCACTTGAGCCACAGTTCCACTTCTGGCTTTTTTGGTAGTTGATTGGAGATCAAAGTCATGGGCTTTCCTGCCTGGGCTAGCTTCAAATTGTGATCCTCAGGTCTTAGCCTCATGAGTAGCTAGGATTACAGGTGTGAGCATGCTGGCACCTGGTCTAAAACAGTTTATATCCAATTGACAATAATCATCAGAATACTGTTCTTCATACAGTCTATTAGTAAAGTCTGGGTATGAGAAGGTTAAACTGCATTAAGAATTACAAACAATGCATTCAGCAGTGAGAATTGGTTACTTAGATATTAGAAGGATGAAAGAGCAAAAAGGGATACTGAGTTTACTTTGAGTTAGCTTTAGAAAGCTAACTGGGCCTGAGAAAACAAATAGTCTTACCAGGAAAAGCTTTGAGTAGCTGGTGCTCAGATTCCTAAGGAAGAAATCTATCCAGGTGATGCATAGACCCAGCAACATGGTCCAGACAGTAATAAAGTGATACAAGGATGTTTTTCCTTGGCTGTCTGACCTGTTACTGATAGTTTTAAGGCTTTTCTTGTGACTGCTAAAAGAATTGTTAGGCTGCAGTTAACTCTCTGTTGCCCTTGAAGCAATGTCAATAACAAGCTGGTTAACAATCTTTTTTCCTTTCTAACTTCTCATTTACAGAACTGACCAGGAGAGAACTATTAAAAGTGTCTTAGCCATAGTGACACAGAGTAGAGTATCTAAGGGCAGGCCTGCAGTTGAGGAAAATATCTAAATAACTGGAACAGTAAATATTATGCATATTTTATAAAGAGAAAACAAGCTGAGCAAAGTTAAATTGTTTGTCAGAATCACTGGAGTTATTAAATGCACACATTTGGAATTTAAATGAAAGCTTGTTCTGCCTCTGCTACTATTTTATTACAAGTATCATTATTTTGTGTGCCATTTGGAAAACAGCACTACCAATTAAATAAGGCCTCAAAGTAAGATATATGTATAAACACATACCAATTTCAGAGATAGAGTATCTCTGTAAAGTTAAAAAAAAAAGTGAGGCTATGTTTTTTTGTTTTTCTCTTGTGTCAGGCCTGGAGCTTTAACTTCAGGTCTTGCACTCATGCTAGGCATTTTTTACTCAAGACTTTTTATTTAAGCCATACCTCTGGCTTTTTGTAGGTTCTAGTTTTTTGCTGGTTAATTGGAGATAAGAATCTCTTAGAGGGGCTGGGAAGGTGGCTCAGTGGTAGAGCGCTTGCTTTGCATGCCTGAGGCCCTGGGTTCAATTCCTCAGCACCACATAAGCAAAAAGAAAAAAGCCGGAAGTGGCGCTGTGGCTCAAGTGGTAGGGCACTAGCCTTGAGCAGAAGAGCTGAGGGACAGTGCTCAGGCCCAGAGTTCAGGCTCCACAACTGGACCAAAAAAAAAAAAAAGAATCTCTTAGAGAGGCTGGGAAGGTGGCTCAGTGGTAGAGTGCTTGCTTTGCATGCATGAGGCCCTGGGTTCGATTCCTCAGCACCACATAAGCAGGAAAAGGTGGAAGTGGTGCTGTGGCTCAAGTGGTAGAGTGCTAGCCTTGAGCTGAAGAGCTGAGGGACAGCGCTCAGGCCCAGAGTGCAGGCCCCATGACCAACCAAAAAAAAAACCAACAAAAAAACTCTTAGATTTGTTGGCCTGGCTGCCATCTTCAGATTTCAGACTCCTGAGTAGCTAAGATTATAGGTGTATGCCATTGGTGTCTAGAGTGAGCTGTCTTAAAAACGGACAAAATACAATATGTTTCCGAAGAATTTGATTTTAGTTGCTGATTTTGATATCAAAGTAAACATATCTAAGTCAAGTACTTCATAGGTAATAATAGCAAGTGTGGAGTTTTAGCTCAGATGAAAGTGAATGGTAGAGATACAGAGATGATGGTCATCTGTATGCCATAGTCATGATCCAGAACAGCTTGCCATTCACCATCTCTGAGTCTATTATTTTTACCATATCACATTTCCTAATTTGTGATAGCATCTGTTGACAAACCTTGATTTGTTGTTGTTATTCAGGAGCTTAGATTTTTTTTAGCCCTTAAATTTGTTTTCTTTCTTCTATTTGAAAAGTGTGTGCTCTGCCAGCATGTAAACCCAAAAGTCTGCCTGGAAGTATTGTTATGAGTATAGTAATGAAATCAGGTTTCTAGAAACTGGGGGTAATGTGACAAAATCCTATGTATGTATTTTCATGTTTTCTCTATTTTTATAGGTCCAGCATGTCTGGCTTACACCTTGTAAAACAAGGTCGAGACCGAAAGAAAATAGACTCACAGCGAGATTTCACTGTGGCTTCACCAGCAGAATTTGTTACTCGTTTTGGAGGAAATAAAGTAATAGAGAAAGTAAGTTATAACTTGCTGACCTATTTAATCAAAAGTATATGAAATTTAATGTTAGATTTTTTCCAAAATGATATTTAGATTTTCAGAGGCTGTCTTTTTATTCAAAATTGTTCTTTATGTTCCTAGCATCTGAATATAATTTTACTGTTTTCTGAAGCACATTTATTGCTAATCAATTAGTTATACATGATTAAGGAGAAGAAACTGTGCCCATAATGTTCCTTTTGAAAGATTTTGTGGTTTTACAAGTGGGGCTGCATAGATCTGACTAGGAGTATTTAAAGAATTGACTGACTTATGGGGTGCTGGTAAAAGATAATATGTGATAGCATTGGACTTAGAACTAAAGCAGTGGAGAGTTTTAGACTTAAACAGTTGGATAGGATACATTGTGACTTTCTGGCTTCTACCAGGCGTTTGAGATGTTTCAAGGGACTATACAACATGAAATACTTGAAGAGATTTTCCATGTATTTTGAAATGTGTCATTGTTATCTAAACTATGTCAGAGCTGAGAGAATAACTTGGTTGAAGTAGCTTATGGTAATTAAAAGATTGAAGGATGGGGACCAGTATTCCTACTCCTAAAAGTATTGCTTCATTGATATCTGTGTCCTTCTATTAGTCTTTTTTTTTTTTTTTTCTGCCAGACCTGAGGCTTGAACTTAGAAGCTGGCACTGTTCCCGAGCTTTTTTGCTCAAGGCTAGTACTGTACCACTTCTGCCTTTTTTCTAGGTAATTGGAGATAAGAATCTCATGGACTTTACTATCCAACCTTCATCCTCAGATCTCAGCCTCTTGAGTAACTTGAATAGCTAGCTTGTAGCCTCTTGAGTAACTAGCCATAAATATGAGCCACTGACTGGCACCTGGCTTATTAGTCTTTCAATTAAGGTAAATTATGTATGTATTAGCCTATGTTATTATTAGGGACATGATTGAAACACAAGTGAGGAGGTGAAAGGTTTATTTACAGAGAAGACTCAGAATCATTTGATTCTTTCACTGTTTTCCTTCCTTCCCTCCCTCCCTCCCTCCCACCATCCCTCCCTCCCTCCCTTCCTTTTTTCCTTCCTTCTCTCATTCCCTCCCTCCCTCCTTTCCTCATTCCCTCCCTTCCTTCCTCCCTCTCTCCTTTCATATTTACTCTTTCCCTCCCTGCCCCCCTCCCCTTCAGAAGTACTGGGCCTCACACTTGCTAGGCAAGTACTCAGCCATAGCACTTGCACCATGCTCTTAGCCCTTGATTCTTATAGTTTTTTCTTGTGACCCTTCTGTCTATCTCTACAAATTAATGTAAGAAAAGATTACATGACACCAAACAGTTTAGTCTTCCTCCATTCCCCACTAAATAATGCATCATCTCTTTGAAGCTTGTTTTCTGCTATCTCTATGTAATAGCAATAATAGAATAGTCCACAAACAGTGTATCGGTAAAAAATCTGAAGAGAAACCAGAGTATCAGGGTATTGATAATCATGACTTTTTCTTCTTCATCAAATAAATTAGAAAGGAACATTCTAGCTAGCATATATTAAAGTATTTGCCTAGCAAACACTTAAAAATACTGCTTGTTCATGTGGGAGCTAGTTTCTAACAGTTTGAACTAGCAAGGTTTACTGGTTGAAGTTTTGATCTTTTTAGAGAGACAGATAAACAAAAATTCTTTCATCTTTTTCCTTTTGTCATTGCTTTTCTTTTTTGCCTTTTCTTTCAATTTCCATCTCCCTTCCTTCCAGGTTCTTATAGCTAACAATGGGATTGCTGCAGTGAAATGCATGAGATCTATCCGTCGGTGGTCTTATGAAATGTTCCGAAATGAGCGTGCAATCAGATTTGTTGTCATGGTCACACCTGAAGACCTTAAAGCCAATGCAGGTGAGTTATTAGTTTTATATATGCCACCGAACATAAAATATTGAATGGAACAGCCTGTAATTGGGAGAATGTTAACTAAGAAGATTTCCAAACCCAGGATTTCCAGTGAAATGCTATGCAAAGAATTGCTCTTTAAATAGTGTTAAGAATAGGCATATAAAAGTGTGATTGTAGTGCTGGGTGCCAGTGGCTCATGCCTGTAACCCTAGTTACTGAGGAGGCTGAGAGCTGAGGATTATGGTTTAAAGTCAGCCTGGGCAGGAATGTCTGTGAGACTCTTATCTCCAATTAACCACCAGAAAACTGGAAGTGGTGCTGTGGCTCAAGTGGTAGAGCGCTAGCGTTGAGCTGAGGGACAGCGCCCAGGCCCAGAGTTCAAGCCTTATGACCAACCAAAAAAAAAAAAAAGAGCTAGATGTTTCATATGTATGTTCTCACAGTCCTATTATAGCACTACATGTTATTACAGCATTTACCTGATTACACTGAAATTGTTTCTTAGAGCTACTGGCTCCAAAGGGGTTTTTGCTAAGTATGTTTTTCTGCATACTCTAAACAGATGGTCCTTTGACTAGTTGTAAAGAATATTAGTATAGCTGAGATGTGTGGCTGGTCTTCTCTATACTTTTTTTTTTTTATTATTTTTGGTCGGTCATAGGGCTTGAACTCTGGCCTTGGGCACTGTCCCTGCGCTCTTCAGCTCAAGGTGAGCACTCTACTGCTTGAGCCACAGTGCCACTTCTGGTGTTCTAGTGGTTTATTGGAGATAAGAGTCTCACGGACTTTCCTGCCTGGGCTGGCTTTGAACTGTGATCCTCATATCTCAGCCTCCAGAGTAGCTAGTATTACAGGCATGAGCCACTGGCGCCCGGCCTTTATACTTTTTATCACTGAAGTGTAATCTCTAAAGGTAGATTAAGAATATTCCTAAGGAGTATTAGATATATCATCTTATTCGGAAATGAAGTCATCCGTTTATTAGAAACTAGACATTATCATGTGCAATCATTTATATCACTTTCTAATGTCTCTGAGCTACAATTTTTGTATCAGGAAAAGGGATGATCATACTATCTATTTACTGAACAGTTTTAGTTCTCTCCTTTTTCTTTTTGAGGGGGTGGTCTGGTCGTGGAGCCTGAACTGGGCCTGGGCGCTGTCCCTCAGCTCTTCAGCTCAAGGCTAGTGCTCTACCACTTGAGCCAAAGTGCCACTTCCAGCTTTTATCTTTTTGCATATGTGGTGCTGAGGAATCGAACCCAGGGCCTCATGCATTCAAGGCAAGTGCTCCCCCCTGAGCCACCTTTCCAGCTCTGAACAATTTTAAAGATAAGATTATCTTTAATAAATATAAACTAGGTTGTTTCTTTTCCCCAAATCCATTCTGCTTGGTACTCTTGTCAATTTATTTATTCATTCATTCCATGAACATAGTGACTCATAGTTAAATAAGATAAGATCTTACTCTAAGAAACAAATAATTTCAATGTAATCAGGTAAGTGCTAAAATAACATTCAGTGTTACTATAGGATTATGAGAACATAGAAATGAAACAGCTAGCTCTTGGAGACACAGTTAAGAGGGCTTTCTGAAAAAGGTTATGCCTGGCCTAGAATGAGTAAGAAATAGTGAACAAATTACAGGATACTGAAGTATGTGCCAGGCAGGAAGAACAGCATATGTAAACATGAGGGTGTGATACAAGTGGCTTTCTGGAAATTACAGGTGGCTTATTAAAGTACAGGGTTTGATAAAGTACTTGTTAAAAACGTCCTTGTTTCCCATACTTAAAGGTCAGACTTTATATGTTTAGGTGTGTATTGGATGTGGCTGTATATTTTTATTTGTGTATGTTACATATAAAAGGTATTGCAGGGGCTGGGAAGGTGGCTCAGTGGTAGAGTGCTTGCCTTGCATGCATGAGGCCCTGGGTTTGATTCCCCAGCACCACATAAGCAAAAAGCAAAAAGCCGGAAGTGGCGCTGTGGCTCAAGTGGTAGAGCGCTAGCCTTGAGCTGAAGAGGGCGCTGAGGGACAGCGCCCAGGCCCAGAGTTCAGGGCCATGGACCCCAAAAATAAAAATAAAATAAAAATAAAAGGTATTGCATTTAAAATGGATAAGCTTTTTTTTATTTAAAAAAAAACTATAAAAACAGAAGAGTTTAATGAACCCCTTCCCATCTACTTATCTAGTGCCAACAATTAGCAACTCATGGCCATTTCACACAGTTTTTCTGAAGCAAATCTTTTTTTTTTTTTTTTGGTCCGGTCGTGGGGCCTGAACTCAGGGCCTGGGCGCTGTCCCTCAGCTCTTCATCTGGTGCTGAGGAATCGAACCCAGGGCCTCATGCATGCAAGGCAAGCACTCTACCACTGAGCCACCTTCCCAGCCCCCTGAAGCAAATCTTAGATGTACCATATTATTGTATTTCAATATTTATCTCTTAAAATATAGATTCTTTTGAAAGAAAAACCAAACACTTAGATGAATAAGTCTATTAGTATCTTGAGAGATCCATTTAAGGAAGAAAGTGATATGATAGATGAGAATAGAGAAGAAATGGATGACATAGAAAGATAGAGGTTAAAAATAGGAAGATTTGGTAACTAAGGACAGAGCTAATGTTCACTGCTGGGTTTCTAACTTGATTGACTAGAGATGGCAGTATCACCAACTAAAATAGATGATACAGCAAGAAAAGCAAGGTTTGTTAATGGGGAGATGGATTCAGTTGGGTGTATTTATGGAACATCCTAATACTATATATCCTATAAAAAGTTGGTTTTGTCCTTCTAGAACTTAGAAATAACAAGAATTAGTGATAAAGTTGTGGAACTTATTAACAAATATGTGGTATAGTTAACACTACACTCCAAAAGAACAAATAGAAAATAAAGAGGACTAAGTATGAAGTTTTACGGAAGACTATGCAACAGACTGGGAAAGACTATGTTAGCAAAACTGAGAAATGAAGAAGTAGCAGAAACAAGCAAAGAAGAACATAAAGAAAAGAGAATTTCAGTCCCAGCGCCAATGGCTCATGCCTGTAATCCTAGCTACTCCAGAAGGCTGAGATATGAGGATCACAGTTCAGAACTAGCAGGGGCAGAAAAGTCTGTGACACTTTTTTTTATCTCCAGTTAATCACAGAAAAAGCTAGAAGTGTAGCTGTGGCTCAGAGTGGTAGTGTACTAGCCTTGAGCAAAAAGAGCTCAGGAACAGTGCCCTGGCCTGGAGGTCAAGCCCCACTACTGACCAAAGCAACAACAACATGCATTTCAATAAGGAAGGGATAAATATGTCACCAGTCCAGAAAATAAGACCAGAAACTTACCCAGCAGTTAGGGATCATTGATAACTTTTGGAGGAATAATTTCCATGGGACAGTCTAAGATTGTATAAACTAATATTGGATATTAAGGAATGTAGGAATTGATGATAGAGATAGCCAGTGTGAACTAGTTTTTAAGAATTTTGGATGAAAAGGGAAGAGGAAAAAGCAGTAACTAAAAATGAAGTCAGAATCATGGAAAGATTTTTAAAAATTAATTTAAAAATAATGGAAATCTCACCATGTTACTCTGGCTGTTTTGGAATTTTGGGGGCTCAAATGATCTTTTTGCCTTAGTGTTCTGAATGGCTGGGACAGCAGGGGAACTGTGTCTGGCACTGTTTTCTAGAATGAAAGAAACTTGGGGATGTTTACAGTCTGAGAGAAGGAGCCAAAGAAATAGGAAGGGTTTTATATGTAGGAGAAACTTTTTTTTTTTTTGGGTCTGGTCGTGGGGCCTGAACTCTGGGCCTGGGCGCTGTCCCTCAGCTCTTCAGCTCAAGGCTAGTGCTCTACCACTTGAGCCACAGCGCCACTTCCGGCTTTTTTCTTTTTGCTTATGTGGTGCTGAGGAATCGAACCCAGGGCCTCCAGCATGCAAGGCAAGCTCTCTACCTGAGCCACCTTCCCAGCCCTGTAGGAGAAACTTTTTAAAATTTTTTATTATTTTTTAAAATGTTGGTCCTTAGGCTTGAACTTAGGGCTTAGATGCTATACCTGAACTTTTTTGCACAAGGCTAGTGCTCTACCTCTTGAGCCACAGCTCCACTTCTGGCTTTTTGTTGTTTAATTGGAGATAAGAGTCCCACGAACTTTCCTGCCCAGGCTGGTTTGGAATCACTATCCTCAGTTCTCAGCATCTTGAATAGCTAGGATTACAGGCATGAGATACAATTGTCTGGCTGAAGTTATTATTTTTTTTTATTATCTTTAAGTAGTTGTGCAGAGGGGTTTCACTTCAACATGTCAGTTTATTGGTATGCTGCATCTTGTTCAGTGTTACCCTTCTATCATGGAGCCAGGGACTTGCAGACAGTAGAAAAGTAACAGAAATTAGGCAAAGCCAGGTACCAGTAGCTCATGCCTGTAATCCTAACTACTCTAAAATCTGAGGATCATGGTTTGAAGCTAGCCAGGGTAGGAAAGTTCATGAGACTTATTTTAAATTAAATCAGCCAAAAGCTGGAAGTAGAGGTGTAGCTCAAGTGGTAAAGCATCGGTATTGATGGAAAAAGTTAAGGGGTAATGCCTAGGCCCCGAGTTTCAGCTCTAGTACTGGTACCAAAAAAAAGAAGAAAAAAAAATTAGGCTCTCCTGGGTACTGGAGGTTCATGCCTATAATCCTTGCTATTCAGGAGACTGAGATCTGAGGACCAAGATTTAAAGCCAGGTTGGGTAGACCAATCTGAGAGACTCTTATCTCCAATTAACCAGCAAAAAGCCAAAAAATTGCTAGATGCTGGTGGCTCATGCCTGTAATCCCAGCCACTCAGGAGGCTGAGATCTGAGTATCAAGGTTCAAAGCCAGCCCAGGCAAGAAAGTCCGTGAGACTCTTATCTCCAATTAACCACTCAGAAACCAGAAGAGGAGCTGTGGCTCAAAGTGGTAGAGTGCTAGCCTTGAGCAAAAGAAGACAGGGACAGCACCCAGGCCCTGAGTTCAAGCCTCATGACCCGGTGTGTATGTGTGTGTGTGTGCAAAAATGGAGATGTGGTTCAAGTGATAGCTTTGAGTGAAAAAAGCTAATAACCAAGAGTGTGAGTTCAAGCACACACACACACACACACACACACACACACACACACCATAAAAGGTTGTTCCTGAACTCTTCTATTACACAGACACACACACACACACACACACAGACACACACAGACACACACACACACAGAGCATAAAAGGTTGTTCCTGAACTCTTCTATTGTCAGACAGTTCATTATCTTATGATGCATTCGCCCTGTGGATAATTTTGGTGATTGCTAGGAAGTTCTTCACATTAAACCTAAATTGGTCATCCTGAAATGGTTGCTATTGGTCCTTAGTTTAGAACTTTCCCCCCCAAATCCTAGCTAAACATCCTTATAGGATCTTTAAGAAGAAAATTAGCTGAGCTACCCCTTCTACCTTTATAGTCTGAATTAACTAAAAGGCAGGATCTTTCCTCCAGGAATTTGGTGTAGAGACACTGTGATAAAGTAGAACAAGCAGAAGATTAAATTCAGTCTTAGCTCAAAATCCTGACTGTGCTGCCAATTAGTTGTGTGGCTTTGGGCACTGTGCTTAACAATTTGTTAAACTCAATTACTTTAGTACTAATGGTAGTGGGTACTAAGCCTAACACTACAAATGTGCTTCTTCCTTCCATCCTTGCTCATAGTAGGGTGATGTCAGCGAATAACAGAAAGGCAGGACAGAGCAATAGCTATGAACAAAGGTTTCAAGCAAGCCCAAACCTGTACCTAGGCCCTACACACTGATTGCAGAACCCTGCACATGTTATATAACTTCACTCATGTATAAAGCAGACAGAATAATAGTTCCTATGTTACTCAGTTATTCTGAAGATTAAATAAGAAACATGCTAATACTTACATGGTACTTGACACTTTAAAATGAAATGTTAAGGAACCATTGGATTCTCATAGGAGTATGTTATATATAATGACAAACTCATTACAAGTAAATGGTAAAAGGAATTACCCTGTTCATGTTTGTTCAGGGGCTACTTTTGATGGTCCTTTTACATAGTTTTGCTATGCTATTATATTTGTGAAGTCAAATCACATGTTCTTTATTTATCTACTTGATTTTTCAGAATACATCAAGATGGCAGATCACTATGTGCCAGTGCCTGGAGGACCAAACAACAACAACTATGCAAATGTAGAATTAATTCTTGATATTGCCAAACGGATCCCGGTGCAAGTAAGAGAGCCCTTTTAAAGCAAATTCAGTATTTTATAGTTAGGTACAAGCCTGTTAACTTTCAGGTAAAGTGTCTTTTTTGAAAATTCTTAAATGCTTTTCTATGGGGTATTTAAACCAGACAAAGATAAAAAGAAAGGAGTGATTAAAAATAAGGAAAATGCAGTATAAATAGAAGGTCTAGAAGGGTCTTGAGATTTTTTAAAATTCTAAATATCTCACCTCTGTGCCATCACAAGTATGTAAAAGTTAACTATTTTCTAGAGAATATTCTTAGCCTAGAATATATCAGTATATTGTAAGTAGGTTGTTTCTCCCTTATCATATTTGTTAGGAAATGTAAATACCTTAGAGTCCGAAGAGAGGAAAAAATCTATACTTATGTGTCAGTGCCACCACTAGATACAAAGGTGGGACAGTATTTCCAGAAAGAGCTCTCTAGAGCCCAGATGAAAGTCCAGGAGAATCTCCTGAAGAGCATCAAGGCCTCTTGGTTTCTGACTTTTGGTCTTGACTTCTTCAGAGGTTTTACGACAATGAACTGCTTATTGTTATTTTGAAGAAAGTTTTCCAAAAACAAGCATGGAAGCTGAATTTGCCATTGGTCTGCTGTGGAACTATTGTACTTTGTAGTGGGGCCAGAGACAAAGCAGTTTATGGTTTAGGGTATAACTTTTAAAATTGAATCATATTGTGTTCTTTGTAGGCAGTGTGGGCTGGTTGGGGTCATGCTTCTGAGAATCCTAAACTTCCAGAACTACTCTTGAAAAATGGCATCGCATTCATGGGTAAACCTTTATGTTGTTTCTCTCTTTCTCTTTCCCGCCCCCCCTTTGTTTTGGGGTTTGAGCTCAGGGCCTGGGCTTTCTCCCTGACCTTTTCTGCTCAAGGCTGGTGTTCTACCACTTGGAGCCACAGCTCTACTTCTAGTTTTCTGGTGATTAATTGCAGTTATGGTTCTCATGGACTTTCCTGCCCAGGCTGGCATTGTATCATGATCCTCAGATCTCAGCTTTCTGAGTAGCGAGGATCCCAAGTGTGAGCAACCAGCACTCAGCTTTGGGTTCTCTTTTTAAATCAGCAATTCTCAGAGTAACCCTTTTCTTTTTTCCCTATGCTTTTTACACTTTCCTTATCTAATTTTTCATCTTGAGTGTTTTCTATCCAAATCCTTTTATTTGAGATGGGAAAAAGACTAGTTTCTGAAACATTAGCCTTTTGAAAACTTTGCTGTTAGCCTATAGAAACCAGGTAGAGGAAAGGCCTCTTTTTTTTTTTTTGCCAGGCCTGGGGCTTGAACTCAGGGCCTGGGAACTGTCCCTGAGCTGCTTTTGCTCAAGGATAATACTCTACCATTTGAGCCACAGCACTACTTCTGGCCTTTTCTGTTTATGTGGTACTGAGGAATTGAACCCAGGGCTTCATGCATGCCAGGCAAGCACTCTACCACTGAGCCACATTCCCAGCTCTTTTTTTTTTTGGTCCAGTTGTGGAGCCTGAACTCTGGGCCTGGGTGCTGTCCCTCAGCTCTTCAGCTCAAGGCTAGCACTCTACCACTTGAGCCACAGCACCACTTCCGGCTTTTTTTTTCTTTTTGCTTATGTGGTGCTGAGGAATCGAACCCAGGACCTCATGCATACAAGGCAAGCACTCTACCACTGAGCCACTTTCCCAGCCCCCAGCTCTTTTTTAAATAGTGAAGATAACTAAAGATATTCTAGCAGTGTGCTCATAAATATGAATCAGTACCTTTGCAGTTAAGCCTGTAGTTTATGTTGCTATAGATAATAGTTATTTCTTTTGACTTCTTGCTTTCATAATGGCAGAAAAAGAAAAATGAAGGTTATATGGCTGAAATTGTTTCTCAGTTCTGATTGTCCTTAGTAAATATTATTAAAGATAAATCCCTTCTTTGGGTTCCCTTAAGATAAATAATATAATATTTGAAACTTGGACCCCAAATTTCACTGTCCTTATTTTTAGGATATTTTAGACTTGTTAATTTGTAAAAGTGGATAATGAAGGTTGATAAAATTAGATTTTTCAGCAGTTTAGAATAACATTCTACATTTTGAGCTCTCTTATTTGTGTGCAAATCTTACTATGATTAAGTTCTATAAAAGGTACAAAGGTAGTCAAAATAATAGTCCTCATAATCAAGTTTATGATCTTTATGATATGTGAGGGGGAGGAACCCAAGAGAAATACAAAAATAATAATAAAGCAAAATATATGTGTCAGAAATGAGGCAAAAAATGTTATGGTTCTTTTTCTATTTTGTTTTTAGGTCCTCCAAGCCAGGCGATGTGGGCTTTGGGGGATAAGATTGCATCTTCTATAGTAGCTCAGACTGCAGGTATCCCAACACTTCCATGGAGTGGCAGTGGTAAGAAATGATTTGTTTGTATCTTGGTTTATTTTGGAGGGTGCTGATTCTGGTACTGAAATTTGGCCTGCGGTACTGTCCCTGAGCTTTGTTGCTCAAAGCTATGTTGTACGACTAGAGTCATAGTTCAACTTCTGGCTTTTTTGATGATTAAGTAGGGATATGAGTCTTGTAGAATTTCTTGCTGCAAACCATGATTCTCAGATCTCTGTCTCCTGAGTAGTGAGGATTATAGGCCCAAGCCACCAGTGTCTTGCTTCTTGTTTGTATTTTTTTTTTTTTTTTGTCAGTTATGGGTCTTGAACTCTGGGCCTGAGCACTGTCCCTGAGCTCTTCAGCTCAAAGCGAGTGCTCTACCACTTGAACCACAGCGCCACTTCTGGTTTTCTGGTTTAATTGGAGATAAGAGTCTCATGGACTTTACTGCCCAGGCTGGTTTTGAACCTCGATACTCAGATCTCAGACTCTTGAGCAGCTAGGATTACAGGCATCAGCCACTGGTACCCAGCTCTTGTTTGTATCTGAAGTATAGAAAACATCAGGATAGGGCTGGGAAGGTGGCTCAGTGGTAGAGCCCTTGCCTTGCATGCAGGAGGCCCTGGGTTCGATTCCTTAGTACCACATAAGCAAAAAGAAAAAAGCAAGAAGTGGAGGTGTGGCTCAAGTGGTAGAGCATTAGCCTTGAGCTGAAGAGCTGAGGGACAGTGCCCAGGCCCAGAGTTCAGGCCCCACGACC